GTATTCATCATGAATTTGTATATCAAGTAATGAAACATCCACAAAAAACTAGCTGTTGAACTTGATGAACAATCATTGACATATTGTGAACTTCTATATTATGTTCAAGTGTTATCTTTAACTCTTGTTAATGAATACCTTATCACTGCAGGTGAGGTCGTATGTCAATGTGTTGAACGAAGTTTATCAATGGTAAGTTCTGTGGGATTGATGTTTAGTCTGATCGGGGTTTTCATATCATATAGGTGATTGGCATAATGGCGATTGAAATGGCTGGTGGTGTTTATTGTCCATTGTCACCTCGAGATCCGCAGCATCGTTTGCATGCTCTTGTACAACAAACACAAAGCTGTCTTGTTCTTGTTCATGATTTGACCAAGACCAAGTTTAATTATGACATCGTGTTGCTTAGTATCGATTCAATTCTGAGTAATATAGAGACGGACAGTAAAATTCATGTGAATCGACTCTCAAATGTCGTGGTAATATCTGATAATATGGCATACATCATCTTCACAAGTGGATCAACAGGAACACCAAAGCCGGTTAGTATGAACATGATTTTTGTAACTTCATAGCATATATAATTGTCGTTGTTTATAGGCTCAACTTCGACACAGAAATTTTACTCGATCAATACAATCTTTAGTACATGTTGATATATTTAACAAAAATGATATCATTATACAAATGGCACGATGTTCGTTTGACCTTCATGTTCAGGAAATCTTAGGAACATTAATGATAGGAGCCACAGTAATCATGTTACATCCACAAGGAAACTATGATTTCGAATATCTCTCCATGCTTATGGAAAGGAAACAAATTAGTTTTCTTTATACTGTACCCACATTACTGGCACTCTTTTTTAATTTTATCAAAGACACTAAAAAAACATATATTATGCAATATTTGCGATCTCTTTGCACTGGAGGTAAATATATAACTACTGACTTGTATCATTGTCTTCTACTCTTATCCGTTTTTCTTCCTCTTAGGTGAACGTTGCTCTGTACAACTTGTTGAATTATTAGAAAGCATTACAAATAACGACTGTTCTATATGGAATTTATGCGGACCAGCAGAGACAACTCTTCAATCTTTGTTTCATCGAGTCAACTCAGAAATAGATACAGAGACTATACCACTTGGTAGACCACTACCTAATTATTCCTGTACAGTCGAAGACAATTTCGGACTGCCTAGCTTTATCGGTCAAGAAGGAGAGATACTGGTGAGAGGCGCAGGGATCTTTGCTGGATATCTTTATCGTGATGATTTAAATGCAAAAGTTCTTGTCGAAATAGATGGTGAGCTATTTTACCGAACAGGTGATCTTGCTAGAATAGATAGCAATGGTCTTCTTCATTATCAAGGAAGAAAAGATCATCAGATCAAATTACATGGACAACGAATTGAACTTGGTGAAATAGAACGATGTTTACTTAACATCACATCTATTTCTGCTTGTGTTGTCATGAAATGGAAGGATGACCATCTAGTTGCTTATGTTCAGTCATCTCATATGAATGAACAGGAATTGCGTGAACATTGTTTATCTCATCTTCCACCACATATGATTCCATCTCTTTTTATTATACTTGATAAACTACCATTGAATGCAAATGGAAAAGTAGACAGAAAACAACTTCCTTCACCCCAATTTTCTACATCAACTTTGTTAACGTGTGATAAATCTGATACTCTTCTGAATCAGTTCGAACAACGTATACACACTATTTGGTGTCAAGTTCTTCATTGTAATGAGAATCACATTTCTAGAACTACCAGTTTTTTTAGTGTTGGTGGTCATTCACTTTTATTTATTGAACTTTATCACCATTATCAATCAGTATTTAACTTTGATGCTCATTCACTTTCCATTGCTCCATTTCTTCAACAACCAACGATATCTCAACATTCACAATTACTTCAAACAGTTACAATGAGTAATATCACGGCAACACAATGGCACACATTACATATAAATGAAGGTAAAAGCGTTTTCTAGGAAATCATTAAATTAATTTCTGTTATTTAATTGACAGGTATTGCCTCTTTTGCTCAAGAGCGTATCTTTCTTGATGAACAAGTTCGTTTTTCGAGTGATGTTGCTGTCTATAATGAAATGTCGACTTTACAAGTTGTTCAAGGATCATTATCGTTAAATCGTTTATTACAATCATTTCGATTTGTTTTGAATAAACATAAAATATTACGAACATCACTTATGTTCAACAATGACGACGGTATTTTGAGACAATGCATCACAGATATACATAGAACATTCACAATAACTATGTATCAAACATTTCAAAATGATAATGAACTTCGAAATATCATTTATCAAGCAACGATTAATCCTACTCTCTTCGATTTATCAACTGGTCATGTTTTTCATGCTGAAATTCTAAAGCAACAAATACCATTAAATGAGAATGAAAATAATAGCGATGAGTTCATAACCAACTCTGATGTTCTCCTCATTGCTTTTCATCATGCAGCATTTGATCGAGCAAGTTCTTCGATGTTTTTCAATGATCTATGTTTCGCTTATAATACTAATGCAATACCAATAGAAGATGATAATGAATCATTACAATATATTGATTATAGTGTACATGAACGTCTAATTGATATGTCAACATCTCGTGAATTTTGGTATTTACAATTAGAAGGATACAATTTGGACTCTCCGTTATCATTACCAGTTGATCGACATCGTTTATCTAATAATCATCGATCGAGTTCTGCTTGTGTCACTCATATCTCTTTTGACAACGAAACTTCACAATTATTTCTGGATTATGCTTCCATACATCATGTGACACCATTTCAGTTAGGTCTAAGTATATTATATACTTTTCTTTTCAAGTTAACACATGGTGAAAATGATTTATGTCTTTCTTGTCTTAATGCTAATCGATACAAAACTGAACTACAAAAGATAATGGGAATGTTTGTTTCGACATTACCATATCGTATTCAACTTGATCCTCATTGGTCATTTGATGATCTTGTTAAATATGTACGAGAGAAATGTTTATCAATTCTTGAACATTCTCATTACCCACTTCAACATATTCTTGCCAATTTACATATAAATCAATCAGATATTTCATTTCTCGAAACTATGTTTGACTTTATAACAATATCGTCACACAGCGATGAATTATCTTTAGATGGAGCAAGTTTCAAACAAGTGTCATTTGAAGAATCGTTCGAAGTGGCTAAGGTTGATTTTATGTTAACATTTATCTATAATCCAATATTGGAAAATAATAAATTATCATTTCGTTTAACTTGTTCACATGATTTATTTGATGAGATTACAGTTACAAATATAGGTCGAAGATTAGAATATTGTTTGCAACAACTTTTTTCATCAGATGAAACTATTAATCAAATTGGTACATGCTTGACATCTATATTGAAAATTAATCTTATTCTACGAGAAGAAAATCAAGAAATGGAAGATGTTATCTTTTGTCGACAATCACATATAATAAACGAAGGTATGTTTTTCTAGATATAAAGTTTTTCGTGGCGTACATCTATATTGACAATGAATACATTGTACGGAGATATCCAAGGGGGAAAAAGCGGATCCTGGATCCCCGGATCCTGTGGATCCTGTGACTCCTAATGGATCCTGTGAATCCTAATGGATCCTGATAGATCCTTGTGGATCCTTGTAGATCCTGATGGATCCTGGTGGATCCTAGTGGATCCTGGTGGATCCTGGTGGATCCTGGTGGATCCTAAAAGAGGCCTACAATTATTGCCAATATTGTTTTGCCTCTTTATTTCTCTTATTATTTTTCGACTGGTTTTATAACGATGCTAGTTGACATACGCTAAGATTCATTTCATAGTTGTATCTAGTGTATAGGCCTTCATAAAAACAAGTTTCTACGTATTTGAATAGTCTGGAATTAATACAAACGCACTTGATATTATTAAATCGACAGCTACAATTTAGAGAAAATTCAAAGCTATGCAGTATATCTAATTCTGAGTTTTAACATTTGATTGGATTAATAGTATGAAAATACTCATATGGAATACGAATATATTACAGTCCATTTAAATATGGTTTTAAAGTTCAAACAAATTCTAATTTGAGTGTAAATTTTTGCCATAATAATAGGCACCAGATTCTTTATCCTTTTTGTCTTGCATTGAGAAGAAACAAACTTATGTATATAACGCAAACATTTACTCAGTATCTTGTCTTCTGATTACATGCATATTAAGGAACTGTTTAAGTATTACATCGTCAATTGTGAATTGTTCTAACTCATCTATTCCACGTCCTTCTCATTTACAGAAAGATGAATCTTGTTGATCATCTTTTATTGTTTTTCGTTGTAACTATAAGAATAAAGAACGTGGTATCATTATTTGCTTCATTGTACCAAAAAAGAACGTCATCCCAGTGAAAAATTACCATGAAAATAACGGAAGTAAACGCATTCATAAAAATACGGAAACTTGTCTCTTATTTGTGGAAGACGTTCCATAGTTTAGTGAATGCATTCGTTAATCAAAAGAATCTTTCTGAGTTTAGAACAACCTATCCTTTGCCGTTCTATAATATTACAGAATACTTTCTTCCTGGTTCAAAACTGTTCTATTTCTATATAGAAAGCGTTCTGAACTATTCTATAAACTAGTAAAATCATCGTCGACCATTGTATTTTGGAACGGTCAGATAGCATTCTACCAAAATAAGATCGCATTCTTTGACGTTCAAGTCAGGAACGTCTAGAGAATGAATTCTCTAAACTGATGAACGCATTCCCGGCAGTCTGTGATCATTCTTAGCAAGAGTAGAATGGATCTGTCCCCGTTCTCTAAATTGTGGAAGACTTTCATCTAAATCTAACACCAGTTTTAGTTCAAAACTGCATCTACTGAAGTACAATAGATTAAAATTAACATAAAAAATGGAAGAACATTCGTTAGATTGTACTTCCCAACTAACAAACTCAATTTTTAAAAAAAAATATTTCATGTCATAATTTCTATGGTTTAAGCTACGAAACATGTGAGCATGCCATTGGATAGAGCTCGTTAAGTTGCATTGGAAGAGGTCTCTCGATGAATCTTATATTTACTTCTCTTTGAGGATTATGGTAGAGAATGTGGATATAGATGATAATTATCGGGAACGCGTCCCAGAAAAATAAATGCCCGTTTTTTCTTAAAAAAGAGCGTTCCAGAAACAGCGGAATATGTTCTTGACCGTTCCATTTTGGAACACGTTCCAGATTTTGTGGAACGCTTTTTTTTTCTTAAAAAAAGCTGACTTTTTTTTGGAACGTGTTCTATACCGTTATTTTCAATGATTATTTTTCACTGGGATGAAGAATACGTCATCTCTATGCGACCACTATCTTCGTCCAAGTCATCAATTATTGTTGTTCCTTTTCAAATATATCTATTTTTTAGTAAACATCACAAAGAGCTATGCCTATCGGTTTAAATAGATTATCTGACGAAACTCTTTTTCTAGCAAATGATGAATTTTATGAATTTATTGAAACTTGCTTAGGTGTTGATGAAATGCTGTTGTTCAAAATACACCCAGATCCAGAAATCAGATGATATAAAATCTTATAAGAATACTACGCCTGATCATATCTGATCTAACAAGATCAAACGAAAATTGTACGAAAGATCGTCGTCTCTGATTTCTTACAAAAAGTGGATTCAAAAGATTCTTGGAAGGTTCTGTTATGTAGTAGAATGTCACTGTAATATTTCATTTAGACTAATATGTACTTTAAATATCCCTAAAAGTTTTGTAATGAAAATAAAGTGAACGTAAGATCTTTAACGTAACGATAGTATGATCTGATATAAGATTGCAGAGACGACGATTTTTTGTTAAATTCTTCTAAGATTTCATTCAGATTACGAGATCTTATCATGTCGGATTACGGTCTGACGGCAGATTTTTCGACCTGGGACCGTTTATCAAAAACTTCAGAGCATTACTTAACGTTCCAGATCTTTTAGCTGTAGTAAATACTTAGGGCAGACCAATAGGACTGGCGCCAGCCCTATAATATTTCATAGAAAGCTCGAGGAACTTTTCTTTCTATATATACTGATAGTCCAAGTGCTGCTCTATCAATCTACCCTATTTCATCATTATTCTGTTGATATCATAATATTGAGAATACATCAGAAGTAGTGACGACTCGAAGAAAAAATAATTTCACAAGGTGTCTCAAAATATTTGCAACATTTTTTATTTCATGGATACCTTGATTTAAGAATATGATAAAATCTTGATCTTCGTCTCAAAAGATGCGCTATAAAAAGCTCTACAAAAACTGTATTGATAAATCTCTACTGACTTGTTCTAGTGGTTTATTCTATACTTTAAATAAGCAGCCTACGCGATAAAGAGTACTATTTTCCACCATATTGAGCTCAATACAAATATTTAGAAGGTTTTGTAGTGTACTAGAAATTTATTTATACAGATTTTGTAGTTCTTTCGATAGCGGATCTTTAAAAAAAAGAATTGGAATGCGTTTATTTTGTCAAGCCGAGATATATGCAAAGCAAAAACGTCTTCCAATATTTTTATTGAATTCATTACATTGTGCAGTAAGAACAGTCACAGAACCTTTCCATTTTAAGTTCGGTAATAATCATCAGAATAAATCAATCAAGATTTGTTTATAAAGCTTTTGTATAACTTTTCACGGTGCATCTTTTCAGACGAAAATCAAGATTTTATCAAGCACGAAAGTCACAATAGGCTGTTATCATTTGAGACATCTCGTGAGATTATTTTTTTCTTCGAGTCGTCCCACTTCTGATGTGTTCTCAATATTATGATATTAACAGAACAATGATGAAATAGGTTAGATTTATAGAACAGCACCTGGGATATGAGTATATATAGAAAGAAAAGTTTCTCGAGCATTCTATGAACTATTATAGGGCCAGCACCCCTACTTTTGGTATGTTCTAAGTAATAATAATATTGTTATTGATTATTCTGAAATCGGTTCTGAATCTGATGAGGATTCTTCAGATGCTGATGGTCAGAATCCTCATCATTTAAAAGTGTCCAAACAAACATTTCAAGGGATGAAGATCTTTGATACAATTAATCCAGCAAAAACATGCCATTATCTCCAAACTTATATCAAAAGCAAAGAAAAGTATATCCATAAACAGACTGCTGTAAAAGTGCAGACCATTAATAAAAACTCTTTGTCGCCTAAGACGACTCGTCTCACAGACAAATACGAGTTCAACAAACAAAAAACCAAAACAGATGTATTGATGTTCATTCATTTATATCGTTAGACACTATATTTGAA